CCGCAGCTCCCGCAGCTGAAGAAGGTCGAACGGGTAAGCTGTCAAACATGTCGTGCAAAGTCAGGTAGCATAAGCTATCCTTTCAGGACCAACATTTGAAACAATGGTGTATGTTGTGGCTCTAAACGAGCTGTTCTTGTACCTAAGATGCCTTGGGAAACTTCAAACGTTCGGCTGGCCAGTTTGGCGTCGTACGTGAGGACAATCATTCATAGGTGGAGACAATCCGTTGTTTGTCACGTTTTTTTCGACGAATTGCAAGCATGGTGATGCTGACATTACCTGTCCTATCTTGTACAGAAAGCAGAAACTTTCATGAAGCCGCTGGTGGATGTCCGTGTCAAGGAGGGCAAGGACAAATTCGCCAAGTTCGAATGTGTCTTCTCGCGAGCCAAGATGAGGCCCAGATGGATGCACAGAGAGACGTGAGTTAAACGTATTGCGTCTTGTTTTGCATCGAAGGCTTTCTTGGTTTCCATGGACAACTGCGTTCACGTTTCTCAACTTCTATGTACAAGTTCTGAAGATCACGCCGTTGTGTACTAGCACTCATCCATGATTTGGATGGGCTCATTACACACTAAACTCAAAGGATATGGGCGCCGATGTCACTCACGCCGATTACCGCGAGTGGCGTCAAAATTTTGGCCGGGGCCAGACTTGAACCACGTGACTCTTCGCGCGCAGTCGGTTTGCCAGCGCTTTCCCAACGAGGCTACGCTTTTCCTCACGCAGATGAGAGAGTGTGCCATAAACATTGCATTAAGTCTTGAGTCGAAATTTCATGGGTTCTCTGTTTCTCTACCTGCTCAGGGTGATACACCCACACATGCGCCGCGTTCCGGTGTTTATAGCTCCTCCTTTTCGGGGTGAATGCACCCGTCATGGCGCTCATCGAACTTTGGCTGACACTCACGCGCTAACAGTAGATGAACCTCTCGCCCACCTGCTGAGCGTCTCCGGCGCCAGCATCACTCGCAACCTGCTGAGCGTCTCCGACGCTAGCATCATTGTCCGCCGCTCAGCGACTGGCAGCGCGTGCCTGTCGAGCACGACGCGCCTGACGTGACGCTCTCCCGCCTGGTCGGCAGGAGCTGTTCCCGGGCAACAAGTTCCAGTTTAAGTCGGACGGTGACGTCTATACGCTGGTGATAGACAAGCCGCGCGTGGAGGACTCGGGCAAATACACGCTGGACCTGGGTGGCGTGCAGTCGACCGCCTTCCTCACCGTCGAGCGTGAGTAGATGAGCTGTTGGTGTCCGCGCAGAGGCCCAGCCTCCACCACACGCGCGGTCGGGCGCTGCCGGTGCTCTGATTTTGATGTGTCCGTGGTTGTTTGGAAACGTGCAATGCTTTAGAGGTGTAAGTTGTACACAGCTAGTTGTGTTGCATTATTGTGGCCCGTCTTTTTTAGTAGGATAAAACCTTAACCACCAGCTGAATGAAGCCATCGGATATTGAAGCTGGTACCGGATATAACAGCATTGCTAATATTTCAAATATTGTAAAACATAAACTCTTGATATTGGCTAGCGTCAGTTACAGACAGCTGTTCCTATGTGTAACCATATTATCGGGATTTACTTATTTCTTACCGTTTGCAATACGCGACCAACACCAACGTATGCTATCGGTGATCCAGCGCCTGATCCGAACTTCAAGTTCGTGAGGAACCTACAGAGGTACATTGACGGCTACCTGAAGGAGGACGTCTCGCTCGAGTGTCAGGTCAACTCGCACAAGGCCATTGTGCACTGGTACCACGGCGACACCCAGGCCGAGGTGAGGGTGAACAGACGCATATGTACCCGGCCCTGCTCTCGAATCCACCAATAACGTACCTTTGCAAGTGAGCTCAGGGGCGTAGCTTCTCAAAATGCGTTTAGGGCCTGAAGAGCGGCGCAGTTCTAGCCGTAAGCGATGCAACGTGCCATCAAAATAAGCCCCAAAACAAGTTTTTCCCCGGATTTAGCCAACTTTGTTCTTAAACTTGAGGCTTGCCCCCCCCCCCCACACGCAACTGAATAGGCAACTACACATCTTGATCCTCTAGTATCGTTTCCGAACCCATTTGCTGCACGGTGCAATACAAAATGACTCATGTCGGGTTACAAATATACATCCCTAGCAGCTCTGATTTGTAGGATGTCACACACTATCGGCGACGGCTCCCAGTATTCCTGAACTGCGGCATGAACCTAATGATATGCAAAAATATACACTTAATTTGAATGAGTGCTGATTACTTTAAATGCTTAAAAACTGTATGCTCTCAACTGTGGAAGAATATATATAGAAGGTATCAGAAGGTAGTCTGGGCATAACACGGCATGTTTAACTATGCCGGCACTCCGTTCTACGTCTGTCAGAGCCTAAGTTTTGCGGTGATTGGATTGACAGTCTGATTGGTATTGGCTTCTCTAGATCATCAGTGCTCTTGGCTGCCATTGGGTAATCACCTGGCTCGCTTGTACATATTGTATGCTTGGTAGTTGAATAACTATGGTGCAGGTACTGGCTTACGAAGTAGTGGTTCTGGAAATACTGGGTAAACTTTTTGCAACTCCTTGTTTTTTACACGAAATCCGGGAAAACTGCACCAGAAGTTGAAAACCGTAGAAATTGACACCTGATTTGTTTTACCTCATTGCACCACGTATGCCATCAGTTCATCGAACCACTGTGTATTGCAGTAGTAGTGAGGTACTCAGGACACTTTATGTACAAGTATTTCGCGATTACAAGGTCGTCGACACATTCTAAGGTGAACTGACATGGCAGCCTCTGTCGTTAACATGGAGGTTGAGGCAATCAAAAGAGATGATGAATTGACTTTCCAAAGGATTTTGGTTGGAGGTGTTTCAAGCCTCTATGGACATGATATGTTTGAAACTGGTTTGAAAAGCCAGAGATATCGATTGCCCTGTTGTTGCCCCGATTGTCTGTAAAGTCGTCCCGCCGGCTTCAGGGATAGGGAGAGCGGGCAAATCTTTCCCATAAACATGTTCAATGATGTGACGGCGACAGACACATCAGGAACTGCGCGATATGCTAAAAATAGCGAGCTGGTTGTACAATACGTTCTAGGTTGCCCGCGAAGCATCGTGTTTGCCGCGCTATGTACAAACCGAACGTTGAGGCCTTTCTTGGGCTACATGGTTATGCTGTTCCGCACCGCTCATGTGTCCTGCGGTTGTAGTAATCCAGCGTCGGCGTCGATCGACTTCCGAGTGGCGGCGGGACGCTGGTGGCCCGATCGCGACAGACGTTGACGTCAGACCGGCTGGACCGACAGGAGAGCGAGCACTACACCATCGGCAAGGACATGATGGGCATCTGCCGGCTGACCATCCGTAGCGCCACCAAGGAGGACGCCGGGGGACTGGAGTTGTCGTCTGTTCCGCCAGAAGGACCGCAACCGACGCGTCCATCACGCTTGTCGGTGGGTTTGGCTCGGACGGCGGCGGTGGCGCCCCCGGCGGCCGGCGCAAGCGGATATTGGACGGTGCCCTGCCGTATGGCATGGCACGTGGTGAACCTTGGACCGCGTTCGGGTGCTGTGGAATCGATTCCCGCCGCAGGTACATTCCGTTAGCCTCGGTCTTCACCAGTATGTAATAACACCCACTGATATCAGCACTTACACACGTCATGAGGCGATTACACGTCATAGTCACACGTCATAGTTACACACGTCAATAGCCGACAATGATTTATCTGGACAGATCGTGACGGGGTAAAGAGCGTTGATGACCACGAGCTGTGGGCTGGTTACGAGAGTAGCATCCCTTACCCGGTTAATGCTCTTTACTTGTCGCGACTTGCGCCTTACGCAATGCACCCGACCGATGCGCAACGTTATGGCAGAGCGGCCGGTGAGGTTCCGCAAGAAGCTGAAGCCGATGAACCACACGGAAAAGGACAAGATCATCATGGAGGTGGAGACGGACTACCCGGATGCCGAGGTCAAGTGGTTCAAGGGTGACGAAGAGATTAAGCCAGACGGCAAACAGTACGTCCACTTGTGTCCACGTCCACCTGCGGCGCTGTTGGCGGTGTGTGGATACTTGGCTTGAGGTTCACAGCTTCCGCTTATGACTGTGGATTGAGCAATGCGACCCGGTCCGCGTTGTTCCACGTTCCGTTGTTGTGCCCGACGTTTTATTGGCATGTTTTGATCATGCAAGTCGTATTGTTCGTGGGTTTGTTCGTTTCGGTCAACAAATTTGATGGCCTCCAAATGTATTGCAAAGCCTATGGCTATGCAAAGATTGTCGGAAGTGCTGCTGAACAAAACCGTATGTGGCATGATTTTTGAATGGTCCTTCCACAGCGTGAAGATCATGTCTGAAGGCAGGAAGCACCAGCTGGTGATCAAATCGGCGAAGCTGGTGGACGCCGGCGAGTTCACCGCCAAGTCCAACTCTGACTCCACGTCCGCGCCTCTGAACGTGTCCTGTGAGTCCAAAACCAGCCACGTCTGCTGTTAGAGCTCGCGCAACGTGCGTGACAGGGGTACAGGCTTCTGTACCCCTGCACGCATATCTTCTGTCTCCATTGCGGTGCTGACCAACTGCTGGCACTGTGAACCGTAAAGCCGGACAACTATAGACGTTTCTTGCAGATGTGCCTTAGTGCTTGCTCAAAGCGCTGGGCCGCAAACAAGTTCTTTGAATGGCGTGTGATGTTAGATGCTCTGGAGCCTCAGTGTCTATATACGGCCGAAATTTCACTGTGTATGTGTCGCGCGCAGATCTGAACAAGTACATCAAGGGTCTGGGAGACGTGGAGGGTGTGGAGCGAGAGAAGGTGGTGCTGGAAGTGGAGCTAGCCGACCACACTGCCCCCTGCAGCTGGTTCTTCGGCGAGAAAATGATCGAACCAAATGAGAGGTGAGACTCTAATGAATGGCAGTCGATGAAACGAAAAGACGCTTGTATTGTCGCGAGTCGATGTGAATGGCGACTATGAAGGCTGTGAAACATTAGCCAGAGGAAGTCTTCTGGCAGCGCATGGCCCATTTCATTAAGATGGAATGAACGGGTTGACATTGCGAAATGCCACCTAGTCTCAGACATAACTCTGGCCGACTGAGTTTAACATGCCGCGAATTCCATGCATTGCTCAAAGGACAGGGGAAGGAGCTTGAGCTTTTGGCTCTCCTCCCTAGCAACGACATGAAATCCGGCCTGCAATGACCAACGCAATATTTATCTAAATTGTTAAATGAGCCCTCTCCACGCACGGTCAGATTCAGTCCGTTTCAATCCGTCGGTAGGATTGAGATCAAGAATCTGGGCGGCGGCAAGCACCAGCTGATCATCAACTCAGCTGAGCTTGAAGACGAGGGTGACTACTTCTGCAAGTCTGGCCGTCTGGAGTCCCAGGGGCACCTGACCGTCATCAAGGGCGAGAGCAAGCCCAAGATCAAGTTCGACGGACCCGTTGTCGGTGAGTGGGGCGAGAGCTGCGACGAGATCGATGACAGACCAGCCGAGGAGAGTTGCTGTTGCCGGCCACAGGGCCGATCACGTCGGGCTGGTAACGCTGATTGGCTGTTCGTTTGTGATCGTCGTTTGGCTAGCACAGTGTCTGAGCAATCCGCGAATGGGTAGGGAAGCGTAAGTTATAACGACACTTTTAGCGGGGCGCATTTTTTGCACGTCTTGTTGCTGCATGCATGCAGCGCGTCAAATGATATTCTAATGACGCATGTCACACTCCGAGTGGCCAAATGAAATACCAGGAGCGACCCAGTTGGTCACTTCAGATGCGTCTAGTGCTTATTTCTCTTGCTGAATATGTACGAAGGACATACGATGCAGTAGCACTAGGAAAATTAACGCAAAAACGGTCTGCCAAAGAGTTTAGAGCTACTGGACACCTCATGACGCGTTAATATCTTTCAGGTCCTGTGAGCAAGCCTCTCACGTTTGAAGTGCCCTACAAAGGTAAGATTTGTCAGAAAATTGTTTTCCTCATTCTCCCAAAAGAGAGCAAACAATGCATGGAACAACATGAACCACTGGAGTTCCCTTCACAAACGGCAACCTCTCATGTAGATAATATGACGTAGTCGAGCTTATACGGTACAGTGCCTGATTACCAAATACATTGCCTGATTACCCGAAACAGTATCCGCAGATTGCTACAAACAGTAAAATCCACAAATCACTCTCGATCGCTTCATGCACAAGCTGTAGTAGGTGATGCATCGCTCTCGCAGCCTAGCTGTAGGCGCTGACATGAGCGCCTTGCAGTGAGTGGAAAGAAACAGACCGAGATGCAGGCGAAGCTGTTCCGCAACGGCAAGCCGCTGTCGTCCAAGGACGTGGAGATCGTCATCAAGGACAAGGTGGTGCAGTACAAGATCAAAAAGCCGTCGCGCGACCAGACAGGCGACTACGAGATCAAACTGTCCAACGGTCAGGGCGAGGAAACCAAGAAGGTGTTCATCAACATGCAAGGTGATATCGACTGGCTCTGACCAGCGAGGAGTGGCTGGTCAGCTGCGGCGCCACCGTTGACAGGCTGCTGCTGCTCCAGCGCTGGCTGCTGTGCAGTGTGTCACGGAGGCGTCCTTCGTCATTCGGCCGTCACGTCATGCTTTGGCTTAACTTCCGCTGGCTATTTCGTGTGTGTGGCTGGGATGCCTCGCAGCATCGTCCTCCTCGTCCACACCCATCGCCGCGTCACGCGTCCTCGCACCACCCAGCCTCGCCGGGAGTCTGCTGAGGCCGTCCGCCAAGGGTCGGCGAGGCAGTCGCACTCTGGTTTGATGTCCACCCCAGCAACCGCACAGTCCTGGTTTGTGTTCTCTGTGCGGGCTTGGTCACTGAGCCGGAGTTAAATGCATATATATATATATATATATATATATATATATATATATATATATATATATATATACACTCCCGAGCCATTTTCATTCATACCTTAAGCTATATAAAGTGGCCGCATTGGTCCCAGGGCTCTGCCCCAGCCAATCAAATGCCTTGCTGCCTCAGTGTCCGTTCTTTGTGAGCGTGGACTCATGGATGTGCTGATATTGGGCTTTCTTAATAGCTTGCGAAGTGTGACGTCGTTTTTCTTCCGTCGTGCTGCTACGTCGTCGTGTGGCAAAGTCGGATTTATTTGGCGGCCATACTTGCTAAAGACGACGCTGCTTGCTTGCTTCACGTCGTTCTATGTTTGCCCTTCACGCTTCGCGCAATGGCCCCAGAGAAGCGTGGGAGTGTGCTTACGGGCGCTGGAGCGCTGACGTGTTGCCATCACATGCTGTCCATAAATGTGTGCTGTTTCAAATCTAATCCAACAAGTGCACCAGCTAAACTGCACTGTGACAGCCCACCTTATAAGACCTCGAGCTGTGTAAGCATTTCATGTGCATGTGTATTTGTTTTTGTCTCTGTATTCTAGTATTGCGTTGTGTCACTTAAAATGTTATATTCTTCTGAACTGTGTTCGCTTCAGCGACTGAGCAAACCTGGTATTGTTTGTCAATATGTGTATTGTGTCGACTACTAATGTGATTATTGTGACTTTTTACTGTCCAGTACCCGTTTGCTCATTTGTTTCGCATTCATAACTTGGATCCTGTGATTTCAGACGTTCCCCAGCCCCCGAAGAGCGTGGAAGTCACTGACATCTTTGCCAAGAGCTGTCAGATCAAATGGAAGAAGCCAGATGAAGACGGTGGATCCGAAATCGTCCGCTACATCATCGAGCAACAGGATCTCGGCAAGAAAGGTGACAATTCAGCTGCTTCTTGAGCGTGTCCTATGCCAGCCTGGGTACTTGCCATGTTGACAGTGATATGGACATTCATGAAGCATCGCCGCACCGGAGGATCCCTCGCGCTAAGAGGCCTCTGTTTGGCGGACAGGCGGATGGGACCTGGTCGGAGAGACGACCCCCGACACGCTGACCTACAAGTGCGAGGACCTGATCCCCAAGAGGAAGTACAGGTTCCGCGTGAAGGCGGTCAACAAGCTTGGAGAATCGGAGCCGGGCATGTCCAAGGCGGAGATTCTGGCCAAGGACCCATGGGGTGAGCGTGCAGTCTGCTTTTCCTCCGACGCTCGCCGAGGCTTATCATCTTCGGTATGTTCTTCACGCTTCGATTAACCTCTAAGAGAAACCTGCGTCTCCTACAAGCAATATTGGCAGCATTCTAGGCATGACTGGGACGTGACATTTTTGACTGTGATGATTGACTATGGAGCGTTTCACACCCCCTAAGATCCCTGCTTTTTGTCAGTACCTTTTTGAAGGCCTTCGCTTTATTTACGTTTTGTGTATAACTGATGACCTCGAGCTACTCAATGATGTTTGATGTGATTAAACGAAACATCGACGGATAATTTTCGTATCATAACTGTTCGAGTGTGTTTACCCATAACACATAACATGCAACAATGCAACAAAGCATCAATTTCTTTGTTAAGTGTATCATGCTGTGTTAAATGCTACGCCCCAAGTGTTGCATGCATCTACTGACGCTTTTATAACGTTATGCACAACGTGTTTCTTTCTCTTACGCGGCTATCCCTGCGGGTTCTTTTCGTGATGACAGCCTTCCCTGCCCTGCTGTCGCACGGCTCCTGGAAGAACGCCTCAGCTGCTAAATCCAAACAAAGGTGAAACCTCAGCTGCTTGCAAAGTGAGACCATGCGTAGCTTGATGTCCTTTCAAGCAAAATACAATTGTGTTGCCGTTCTATGACGCTAGAACAATTTAGTTTAGTTTCAGATGATCCAATAGTTGTTTAGGTGTCTCTGTCGTTGATTGGTTGATCTTCGTAGGATACTTTATGCACTCATTTTGCCTGGAAGCGACTGTTCAAAATTTGTACGCGTTTTTGAACTGAGGTAGCCATTTCAAGATACTTCCGTGTAGTTCGCAGCCATGCACTTTTAATACTTAAAATATTATTGTTATCCAAGGTGTTATACGATATCACATGCATGTTTGTCATTCAAGCCTACCACGGGCTAGAGGCTCGCGAAGTTGTGGATACTATTTTGTACCGCCTGGTTTGGGATCCCCCATGCATTTATAGCGTCGTAGAAAAGCACGCGACATCCCTACCTTAATGGACATATTGTGCTCAAGGTAGAAAATAATATAACCAGTGAAATATCCGTGTCTAGAGCACGTCATTATAAATTATTGCACCGGCAGACAGCTAGTTAACCACCAGTTAAAACTGCTGATTGCATACCCTGATCGCGAACCGCACTTTCTCAAACAAAGTGCAGGCATTTGGGCAGTTATATTAGTTGTGACAGCATGAGGTTGAAAATGGAAATTCGGTCAAAAACATAGCATCACAGAAAAATATGTAAGGCCACCATGAGGTAAGACCAGAACACACGCACATACCCCTAACAAGATTAACTTGCACACAGACATCAATGTCATCCTGCAGCGCACGAAGTACAAGTGAGCCTGCCGTCCGCTAGTTATTATTCTGGCACGCCAATCTGGTAGCGGCTCTGGCATCATAAAAGCGTTTCAGGACGTAATGAAACAATGACGTATTGTGGAGCAACTTTGCTAAAAAGCGAAGTTTTGCTATTCGGAACAGTCTTTGGAAGTTTAGAGCATGGCAGTAGCTACAAGTGAGCTTTTTCCATTACATCTGGTGTTTGTCTCAATACCTTAAACTGTGGAATCTTTCTTTTGATAACGGTAAACTTCTCACAGATTTGACATTTTAATTGCGTGTGGGTACTTCCAACTGTATTCGTAGTTGCTGTCACTTTTCCTGGTGGGGTAGCTAACTCCTGCATCATGACTCAGACGAGCCTGGCAAGCCCGGGAACGTGGAGCTGACCGACTGGGACAAGGACCACGCTGACCTGAAGTGGACCAAGCCGGAGAGCGACGGCGGTGCCCCCATCACGGGCTATGTGATCGAATTCAAGGTCGGTCGGTCGCTCGCTTCCTACCACTGTCGGCATTTGAGAGCCTAACGTAGTATTGAGAAGCCCAAGTGGAGTCTCACTTCTTACGCTGTCTTAGGTTTCTGAATACTAGCCCCAACGCCGAGTCCTCGAGTCACACAATCACAGTGCATATGTGTTTCTTTGCATCTCTGGGCGGTCAACCGCGCGCAGATCGAACTCCCCACGCAGCCCAGCCTTCCACTCCGCGGCTCCTCCGTTGACCTCCCTCCGGCCGTGCAGGAGAAGTTTGGCAAAGACTGGACCGAGGGGAAGTACATCCCGGGTGACGTGACCGCCGGCACCATCGACGGCCTGACCGAGGGCAAGACGTACGAGTTCCGCGTCCGCGCCGTCAACAAGGGCGGCAAAGGGAGAGCCATCCGACCCGACCAAGCCTATCGTCGCCAAGTGCCGCTTCGGTAGGGCTCTCGGGTCATCTGACACCGCTCGCGGCCGTGTGTGGTCGTCTCGTCGGTCTAAATGGATGGCTGGGGACATCCAAAGCTGTTGCATTTGAAGCTGCTCTCTGATGTTGATTTAAGAAGATGGATCAGCGACATTGGAAATGAAGTCATGCTGCAACATATCATGTCTAAATGTCGAGAGTAGATGCGTATTATGCGTCGAGGTGATGGTAATCATTCCCAGATTTTTATGGATATCGTTGACAGCCGTAAATTGTTGTCATCAGGGCCTTGTGGTCTTTTTGTTTTCTTCACACCGCATCAGTATGCTGTAGCTACTAACAAGACATTAAGATGTCTCTCTCCTTATCAATAGCATCCCAACAGTAAGAATGTTTCCAAAAAGTATGTTTAAGCTGGTGTAAAGCTTCGGTAATGGATGCTTGCCTCTGCATCTAACACATTCATGCGTTTGGTTCACAGTGAAACCGTACATCATCAACAAAGACGCCTTCCGCGGCATCGTTAATCAAGAAGAACCAAGTGATCACGCTGGACATCAAGTTTGGTGGTGAGCCGGAGCCGGAGGTCCACTGGTTCCGAAATGACGTCGAGATCTTCGAAGACGTTGAAAAGTAAGACCGATAGCTCCTGTGCGCGGCAGTACCTCTGCTGTACTTGACTTAGTTATGAACACGAATGCTGATAATGCTGATCTCATGATCCCTGATTTAGGACTGTTTTACCCACGAGCTGCTGGCGGGGCACTGACCCTTTTTGGTATAACTTTCGAGCGTGTTATGCCTAGCCCAAATGAAAACAGCATTCTTAAACGAGCACCACAGCTAAACGTGTCATCATCGGGCTAATGAGATCATATCAGGTCATGTCATCCTGGTATAATGAAGGTCGGTTATTGGCAACATATGACCTTGGAACTCTAGATGCTAACGACCTATATCTGAAGTATTTTCTTGCTAATATGGAGTAATAGAGACGGCATCGGCCGTGTGGTAGGTGGCGTATTCTGGCGTCACCTGTCTAGTCGTTGCTTGATGTGTGAGTGACTGAACCATGCCAAAGAGCTTAAACACATTGCAGTGGGTCATTAGAGATTAAATCAGGTTATGCTGATCGCATTGTTTGTCGTCACAGGTCAAAGGTCAAATGCAGGTATAGCCGAGAGTTAGGACTTCTCGCATTGATATGCTAACAGTGGTGATGCACACCTAATGTCAAAATACGCCAGCAAATGTTTACCGATATACGAAGCTTGTTTGCCGCGTACACCTGACGCAAGGGTGCATGGCTGCACGACACGTATGCAGCAGGATATGAGATCTCCAAAGGTGAGATAGTAGCAATGGATAAGAACGTGGGGTCGGCGTATCATGACAAAATGAATTCACTTTGTCAGTTCGAGATTCGTGCGCGGGGATTGCCCCCTCCGCCACACGATTTCATTATAGAATTTAAGAACATGTGCCATATGGGGCGCATCGTCAAAAATACGACAGCACTTGGACCGTTCCCAGTTCACACCACCGTGGGCCACCAGGTCAAGGAGATGAGAACGACTATATTTTGGGGGTGGGCGTAATGGCCGAGTGGTTAGGGCCACGGACTCCCGCGTGGGGGTGTCGCGTCATCATCTTCATGGCGCGATGGCCCCTGAGCGCCTATATGGCCGATACAGTCGCTAGGGCGCGGGGGAAGAAGGGGGCGTGACGGTGTGCATCACGTTCCCATAAAAAAGAAAAAATACAGCTATTTTGGGAGTTACCGACATGTTCCTGTCTGATATGTGTATGGCTTCGTTTTAGGTTTCTCCGGCATATTATTTCATCTATTCTGACCCCCAGTCTTGCCTTACCCCTAGCCATGGCGGTTGGGTGAATGAGCACTTAAAAAACGTTTTTTTCAGATTCAGCGTTTTCTTAAAATGTGAACCCCTTAAGATGCGCACCACTTCTCGGTCTGAGGAACATTTCCAGATTCCCTGGCATATGAATGCATTGCATTGCTTTCGGTCGTTTTTTCAATAGCGCAACATTTTTGCACACGCAATCTGTGGGGTTAGCTTTTGCAAGGGATTAAGGCTCAAAGCGACCTCGTATGTAAGGAACGAATTGTCGCAAAACACGTCGAAACAGTTTGGCTGGACCGGACGATGTGATTAGGCCTAGACCAGACCTGTGACAAACTTAAAGGCCTCGAGGTTACCAAAACAGGCATGTTTGGTTCCGATGATCCAAGGCTATCGATTGCACTTTGATCCAGTATGGGATGTCGATTAGTTTGAAGTGCTACGGACGGCATTGAAAGTCGTCGCCGTGTGACAAATGAGGCTAAATGACCCAGTCAACGCCTTGTGAAAACTGCGGCGCACTTGAGTCTTTGCCAAGTACTTGAATTACATCCCACTTGTTTTTGCACCACGGGTGCTTCATTCCAAGTTTTTACACGTTACGGCGTGCTTTGCATTACTCCCCACATAATCCTTGTGTACATTGTATACAGTATCCTGCGCTGCCGTGCGTCCAGAAGTCGGTTGAAATACGGTGACTTATGAACCTGAAAATTCGGATGCCCCCAAGCCTACGCTCTTTTATAAGTAGGCTCATGTAGACTTTTTGAGCCATCTTGTGTCATTATTTTTGTTTGATGATGAGACTTCTGGTCACTACCACCGCAGCATCCCTTTAAGCAAAGGCGTAACATGTAGCTTCTTCGTTTCACACTGCGGAATAGACCCAGCCATGACACGCCGCCATTCATTTTTACCATTTATGCCAAATCCGCAGTCTATCTGAGGATTTAGTCAGTCTATCCAGGGTTTGTGTTTAGCCCGAGCGGATTGCTCGTTAACTTTAGGGAAGATTAGTGATCAATCAGCACATCAGTATCTCGCTGCTGCGAATTGGCCTATCTTGCGAGTGTTCCCGGTGTCGCCACGGCTGTCGTAAGGAGCCATGGTAATCGATGTGTGCAAACCGTACCCTAGCTTGCAGTCGTCTGAAATCTATTCTGGCGGCTATAACTACGGAATGAAACCGCTGGACTAGCCCGTGCATGTTTTGCAGGAGTCAAAGAGAGCCGACTGCAAATATTAATTATGCGATACGCGCGGCTAATGTGATCGTGATCAGGGAACGCGTGGCGGAGAGCTGTATTGTCCGTTCCTAAACATCTGTTTGATCATCACGCTTTGCACTAAGATCGAACTCGGTCATTAGTTCTTACAAGCTGGCCTGTAGCAATTCATTTCAGTGTGGCAATCATGTATTCAGCGCAACGTGATCGGCGGAGTTCATCAACTCTTTGCTCTCTTTCAGAATGCCCGATGCCGATTTCGGAAGGTGACGATTTGCACTGTAAAGTGTATAGCTATTTCGTAGAACTTGTGTCCTTGTAACAACAATAGCCCTGCCATCCCATATGTGCCTTTTACACTCCGAACTTCACACTTACAACGCCTAACACCGTGCTAAATAACAACTAAAGATTTATGTTGTTAGTTACAAAAGCTTTTGAATGGGATGTGGCTGTATATGGCGAAGCTCGGATTATATGCACTCATTAAATTGCAATATATTTTCCTAATTGCCCGAGCATTTCTAAAACATAACCATGCTCAATCTGTGCTTTCCTACCCTGCTATCGCTTCAGCAATAATTGCTAAGCATTGTTGATTATTCGCCGCTCATTTGCTGCTTCACTGTGTCTTACATTCATCTCGTTTGTGCTTCATTTTTATTTTATGTTCATCTTGCTTCAGCTGTCCCGTCTCGATACATCTGTCACTCGTTCTTTGTGCGAAGTTTCTCACATGACCTTTGGGTTACATTCCCCACCTGTGTACGAAGCTGCCCCCACATTATAACGAAGACACAGCCCACTGGACCCAGCCCGGTAAATACCTCACGCAGGTTGGGGGTTCCAGGTGCCCACAAGTCCTGCATAAGTCTGTTCTGCATAAGTCCCAGTTCAATTACTCGAAATTACTACAGCAACTATTCTCGTATCTGTCCCATTTTTTGTTTCGGTCTACCGAGAACAAGCTTGTGCACAATATGATTTATGCGCACCATGTCCCTATAGCGGCAATCCTCCACGGCAGATCCTCTATTTAACATCATTTCCATATAACAGGCCAGAACAACTATCGTTCCTATATGTCAATAGCTCTGATGTCAGAACGTGTCAGCTCGTCCGGCCGGCGCTTTCCCTGTATGTGCTTGACAGGGCCTTCGGGGCCTTCGTCAATATAGACCTGTACTGCTTTGTTCCAGCACGGCTGACTGCGTTGAAACGGCTTCGTTTGTTTTTAAACTTTTCAGAAATGTTTCTACTGGCTGGCTTTGAGGCAGCTTCTCCATGCCTGCCTCTTGCTTGTTTCAGTTCTCAGCAGCGACTGCCCTACTTTTCAGCTACAGCCTCTGGCCTGTAAAGGCGTTTATTTCCATCTCCATATTGCTCATGCGCGGCTGTCATCTGTTTTGAATGGATCGGTTTTTGAACTTCTGATGAAGATGTGCTGCAATGCATTGTTTGTTTAGATTCGCTGATAATCTGAAGTTATACTTTGATGCCTCGTGCCTAGGTACCTGCTACCCATGCCACCTTCTAGATCTAACAGAATGGATTGCGTGGCATCCCTTTCAGTGCCTCTTCCGTGGTAGTGTAACGTTAGATAGTCTGCAATCTCCCTGCATGTATTCTGGTTATGAATCGCGCGGAAGAAATCAAAACCATGCGCATGATTTTGACACTTCTCATGGTGTGGAAGAACCCCTTTCCCTCGGCAACTGACAGCTATTTCTTTCTTCTTGCCTTTGTCAGTCTGACATAGCATCATGTGATGCGTGATCTATGATCAAACTACAGTAGGCTCGTGTTGCTCACTACATTGAAGAGCCGCCGTCTGCACTGCATACTTCAATCTCAGATGTTTGCGACAGATGAGTACAGCGATAGAAAGCTTAACAGACCATTACAGTTGTGACGTTTTGAAACATGTATTGCCTCACCGCCAAATACAATGGCTAATATTACACCACTGTAACTTTGCTTGGATGTTGCACATTTAAAAATTCATCTGAAGAAGTTTGGAAGGTGTCGCTTCTTCGTGTATTGCTTCTGCATTCTGCACTTCCTCGTATACTGCATTCTGCACTCTGCGTGATGGTACAACCATCAGCTCTTGGCTGTTAAATTATTGTGTAACAGCCAGAGGATTTGAACTGCCGACAGGCAGTTCTTCAGTAAATTCAGTAAAATCAGTTCAGTAAATTATTGTGTAACAGCCAGAGGATTTGAACTGCCGACAGTACGTTATCTTTTGACAAAATTGCACTGAGATTAATTTCCATGCACGGGGCCAGTTGTCATGCGTTGTTTCCATGCGTGATAGATACTCTGCCTCGGCGGTACATGTGGTCACATGCCAGGTCAGCCGCTCCTAATATGGCAGGACGCCGTGTGATCACTTTTTCGTTGACTGTTATCCGGTAGTTCCAGCTTTGCTTGCATCAGCTTGAGCAAGCGGAACAGTTGTGTCCCTTCAAACAGGGACAGCATTGCAATACTGTCTCTTCCCTGGTATGTGATGGGTGTGCCCTGTAGCTGTCCGCAGTTGCCCCGTACCTGTATACTTCCACTGCCCATTCTGCACGTTTCATCTGGCCGTATGTCGTCATCGTCCCATCCCCATTGACCCTGTCCCCACTCATGGCCAAAACCACGACCCCCTGCGGCACCACGTCACACGCCCGTGGCCGCTCCCTAACGAGAGAGACGAGGGCCACGCCGCCTCACGCACGGTCTCAGCTCTCACTCACCCCTGGGGGGGGGGGGGGCCGCGCCCACCCGGTCGACGGTGCCGAGCTGGCTCGCGGAGCCCGGCCTGCCGCCCCGCGCCGGCGCCAGGCGACGGTGGCCACGGGATTGAGCTGACCCGCCCGGCTCGTTACAGGACCACCATCGACAAGTATGACCGCAACACAGTGCTCACAGTGCGCAAGTGCGAGCGGCCCGACTCGGGCAAGTACAAGCTGGTGCTCACCAACTCGTCGGGCTCCTGCGAGGGGATCGCTGACGTCATCGTCCTAGGTGCGTGTCAATGACGTCATTGTTCCTGGTAGTTTATGCTACGCCATCATTCATGTGTGTGTGTATGTGCGTGCGTGCGTGTGCGCGTGTTCGCGTGTGCGCGTGTGTGCGTGTGTGCGCGTGTGTGGCGTCATCACCCTAAGTGATCATGTGTAACAAAGTCGTTTTAGATAGATGTGCGTAGTGTCATCTCTCCAGGAGTTTGCACATGACATAATCGTTATGGGCGGATGTGTGTGCGTAGCGTCATCGCGAGCAATGCTGCTGCTACGCTTGTACATCCATGACGATATTCTGGTAGGTGTGGTGTTCTTTATGTGTGGGCAGTAATCTGCAAATTTGTCGTCGGTGGGTAAATAGCAGGTGGTTTATACATCCTGCAAAAGGAGTTTGCGCTGTGTGAGCTTTTACTCTCCAGAAAGTCATACATCTTCATCCCCGACGAGACCAAGAATATCCACAAGCAATGTTTGCGGTTGCCAGTACCGGCGGTATGTATGGATCAGTTGCATGACCATGGTACGGGTGGCGTGTGACCGGTCCGACGCCCGCTGACCACTCCGCCCTTCGGCGTTGGCAGGCAAGCCGTCGAGGCCCGAGGGTCCGCTCAAGGTGGAGGATGTGCGCGAGACGCGCGCCCTCTGCAAGTGGAACAAGCCCAAGGACGACGGTGGCACTGAGCTCAAGGGTTACGTGGTGGAGAAGATGGACATGGATACTGGCCGCTGGGTGCCGGCCGGCGAGGTGGGTCTCCCGGCCGCTGCACTGCGCCGTTTCAGCGACCGGGCACGGAGTGCCGGTTGCACCTTAAATACGGATACAACAGAAGGCAATTTGTGTGCACGCTGTTGTTATTTGCAAGAATTATCAATTGTTGTAAGCGGCATTAAAGTGCCGGGTATAGTGAGCATTGCACTTATAGCCAATTGCAATTGCGTATTGCAATTCCCAATGGCGGTACTCACCACCAGAAACTTATCAGTTACCATCATTCACCATTGCCTCTAGCACTAATCAGGTTTGGCATCAATTTCTCCCCAGGACTTCTCAGCTGTTCGGGTTGGGGCTGTGCTTTCCGGGACAGGGTTAAAAGCTTCGCTGAAAACTGGATGGAGTCGGGTGGCCTGGCTGTGGTGGGCCGCGTACGCAGCCTCTATGCCAGCGATCCCATTCAATTGGTACTCGTGAGGGACGGTCGTGGGATTGACGCCGACCATGATCAGTCCGTGAGGGTGAAGCCCCTGAGACGCCCGCCTTTTCGCAGGTCGGCCCAGAAAAGACCGAGCTCATGGTGGAAGGCCTGACTCCGCACAAGAAGTACAAGTTCCGCGTGCGCGCCGTCAACAAGGAGGGCGAGTCGGACCCGCTGGAGACAGACGACTTCATCGAGGCCAAGAACCCCTACGGTGAGGCGTGCTTCACGCTCCTCTGATTACTGTGGATGCTGTGGATATCTGAGCGGCTGTAATTCTTGGTGTTGGTGTGCTTAGGCAACAAGTCAGAGTTACGGTCCTAAATAGCTTAGATAAATAAACTGGCAACTCTGGAATCATGATTCTATCAAATTAGCATGAACTCAATCTGTCAGCTGTCAGCACTGCGCAGCGAATGTGCTTTGAATGCCGAAGTTGAATGGAGTTGAGTGACTGAAGTGTTTGAAATGCATTCGTCAGTGGTACCAAAATTGCGTACATCCATCACATTAGCATGCGTTTAAGCCCAGCCTTGAACATCCTTTCTGAACGCGATACGGCTGCGGGGTGGTCAGACCCTGCATGCTATAATTTCCTAAGCCTGCAGTGATAACTACGTGTAGGTTTTTCATACCCATGATGGTGTTTCGCTTCAGATGAGCCTGGCAAGCCTGGCAAGCCGGAGATCGTCGATTACGACAACAAGATGGTGCAGCTGAAGTGGGAGAAGCCAGCCAGCGATGGCGGCAGGCCAATCCTTCACTACGTCATCGAAATGAAGGACAAGTTTACCGAATGGAGCGAGGTGAGCCCCGCGAAACGTCGATGGCGAACACAACTATCACGAGTGAAGTCTTCCCCATGCGGTTCACGCGCGCAGCTGGTCTTGCGTGACGGGTTCTATAGATGATCTCGGTCTTACCTAACGATGTCATCTGATGCTGCACAGGTAAAGAAGACGAGCGACGACAAGCCCGAGGCGCAGGTGGACGGTCTGAAGGAGAAGATGGTCTACCAGTTCCGCGTGCGCGCCGTCAACAAGGCGGGCAAGTCGGAGCCGTCAGAGCCGACCGGAAACCACCTCTGCAAGCACAGAAACCGTACGTTATCAGCCAGCTGGCCGGTCGAAGCTGCCCTGTTCGCGGCGGCGTATCGCTGAGGATGACAGATGTGTGATGCCCGAACCTGAGTTTGGGCATTTGAGCTCAGAGCTCCCAGGCTCTTTATACTTCTGTGTTTGACGACATTAAAAATCTTCTTCAGCGAGGTCGTGTGCGTTGGAGAATGATCCAGATCAATTCCATTTGTGTTTTAAGGAATATTATCAATGTGGATCATGCCAAATGGCTGGCGGTAACCGCTAAACCGTGGAGGGAGAACTCAGCGTGCTTGCTACATGTAATTAAGTGACGAAAAAGCGCCAACAATGACGTGTGTAACGACTAATCAAACGGTAAAGATTTGACAGGGTATAATGATTTTAAGACATTTTTATATGTGGTTCGAATAGCCATCTGGCTAAATTCCTCGCCGTGACGGAGTTTCGTCCCCGTCTATGCAGTTGAGTCCGTGCCAACGGGCACCCCTTCCACTGTGCGTGCTTCGACGCCTTGTTTGCCCATGCGCCTGACCGCCTGGTCCACCCGGCTCGGCAGTGAAGCCGTACATCGACCGCACCAACATGAAGACCATCACCATCAAGGTGACGCGCTCGCACAAGTTCTCTGTGGACGTACGTGGCGAGCCAGCGCCCGAGCTCACCTGGTTCTCCAAGGATGGCACCAAGATCGAGTCCACCGACCGCATCAAGGTAGGTCTCGCGGCGCTCTGCGGAGGGGGGGGGGGGGGCACGAGCCCGCACGCCGCCGCTCATCAAGGACGGCGAGGTGGCGCCTGTTTCCGCCTCGGGAGGTCTGGGGTTTGGTTCCCGGCTCAGAAATGTTGCATTGGTCCCGGTTTGCAACTGCGTGCGCAGCACAATGCCAACGATTTCACCAGTCGCGTACATGCACGAATAAGGTAGGGTCTCGTGAATCTCGAAGTATGCGAGTCCCGAGAAGGGCTATTTCTGCTACGAAACGTTCCTTGAGAACATGGGACACGTTGTGCGTGTTTGTCAGTGACACGTTTCGGTTGGAAGATTCCTTGCTCTGGAAGACGGCGCTTACTGGATAAAGTGATGCTCCTCGGGTTGATGTCAGTGTGTTTGTGAAAGGAATTTGTGCACAGCAGGTGCCTTTACGCACCGTTCCAGCTTATTGGTTTTGTCGATGTCGATTAGCGTTCTGTTTAAGCTCGCTCGTCATTCAGCAGCTGTCGAGCTTGTGTTTGTTGCTACACACCATGCGCCCCCGTTCCTTAGATCGAGAACGTTGACTACCACACGGACTTCAGCATCGAGAAGGCCACCAGGAAGGATTCAGGCTTCTACACGTTGAAGGCCGTGAACAGGAACGGCAGCGACGAGGCCCAGTGTGAACTCGTGGTTCTTAGTACGTGCTCAGGATACCGGCCTCTTTAACTTGTGTTTGTTCTGTGCCAGAAGATGTTGTCGATTTCCTGTTCAGAGATGGGAAAAGGTTCATCACTAGTCGGGAACAGAATGTGTACAGCTACGCAGCACACAATTTTATGATATGTGAGTGTGTATCTGCACACATATTTGTGGCTTGTAATCTTGGCGTGGTTGGTGTTCGGTCATTTCCGTCCCGTCGTCATTTGCTGTGTCCAGTCATTTTCTCGCTCCCAAAGCCTGGTTAAGCTGCAAGTGAGCGAGATTCGGCAAATGCCCCCCCCCCCCCCCCCCCCCCCCAGCTGCAGCCGTTGCCAATTGCTTCTCACCAGCTGTAGCCGTGTTGAGTGACTGCACTGCGTTGCACACCTTTCGTCACAGCCTACCTCCTTTACCTTAGGCAAGCCGGGAATGCCTAAGGGCCCGCTGAAGGTGGAGAACGTCTACGACAAGGGCGCCACCCTCAAGTGGGAGAAGCCCGAGGACGATGGCGGGCTGCCGATCAAGGAGTACGTCGTCGAGAAGATGGACGCAGGAACCGGTCAGTTTTCGTCCGCTGACGTCGCACCCAAGCCAAGGCAAATCCTATCCTGGCTGTTGGATGTATGCTTCATTGACGAATTTAAGTCATGAGAGCAAATGGGTCATGAGTTGTCCTTCGGCATCACGCGCGCGCTTGTGACTTACATTGAAAGAAAATTGCACAAATAAGCTGATTGCGAACGCTTTCCGTTCGTGCCTTTTGGCGCTCGCTGACCCGTGACCCGTCTCCAGGCCGGTGGGTGCGCTGCGGCAAGTGCCCCGGCGACAAGAGCCACCCGGAGTTCCAGGTCGGCGACTTGATCCCCGGCCAGGACTACAAGTTCCGCGTGGCGGCCGTCAACGATGAGGGCGAGTCGGAGCCGCTGGAGACCCTGAAGGCCGTCAAGGCCAAGAATCCGTACGGTACGTCCCGCTGCGGCTTGCTGGTCGTCCTGATCGACTGGGGCTTTCAAGGGACTTGTGGTTCTGTGATCTGCTGTGTGGCTGTGGCGAATGTTGGGCCTGTGGTCTGCGCGGTCCGTCCCATCACGCAAACACGCTGAGTGGTTCAATGTGTTTATTGTAGTGAACATTGCAACTCTATGTGCAGTATTAGGCCCTTGGAACAACCTGTAATGACTTTGGCAGAAACATCATAATCATAAACAGAAAGCACATTAGCCTTATTTGGAAAACAAATGGCATGTTCCAAATTATTCAACACTACCACAATCTGTAGAGGCACGTGGTGTTTAGACCGGTACAGGTGAGTGGATGACGCGTTGTGCCTTCCGCCACCTGTCTGGCGGGAAATCGCTGACGCGCCGGAACGCCTGCTCGCCTGTCACAGACCCGCCGGAGTCGCCGGGCAAGCCGGAGATCGTCGACTACGACAACAAGTCGGTCGACCTCAAGTGGGAGGCGCCCAAGAGCGACAACGGCGCGCCCATCCAAAAGTACATCATTGAGAAGAAGAACAAGAAGTCGGGCGAGTGGGAGAAGGCCTGTGAGGTGCGTCCCTCGTGGAGACGGCCGCGTTCGCCGGCGATCATGAGTGGCACAGACTTGACGAGACACAGTCAAAGTTTTTTATTGAAACTGAAATGTTCCGTGCAAAAACTTTGCCGGCAAACCATAAGGCCGGATTTTAACGAGAGACAATACTACGTTATCGGGCGATGGTGGGCGGCTTCTTCTAAGCATTACGTGCGCACGCCATGACGTCAGTACAACCTGACCCTCGTGCGACCGCTGTCCCGCCTGACCTGAGGTCTGCGCGCGCCGCCCAGGTGCCCGGCTCCCAGCTGACGGGCAAGGTCGATGACCTGGTAGAACGCGACGAGTACCAGTTCCGCGTCAAGGCGGTGAACAAGGCTGGCCCCGGCAACCCCTCGGAGCCCACCGACTACCACATCGTCAAGCACAGGAAACGTAAGCAGCGCTGCTTCGTGCACTTTGGGCTCACCGACTGCTCAGCGGTCGATGATGGGTGTTGTTCGTTTTTTGATGGTCTTCGTCCCAGAGTTGCCTTGTCCTGTCGGTCTGAAAAAGTGCATTTTGCTCCCTCTTTGGAAGCCCGTGCCCTAGATATTTATTGAATTAAGTCACTCAAAGCATTTTTCCCAGGGGATGCAGGTCTTTCTTAGAGTAAGAAGGTTTGAATTGATGTGTGATGACAATGCACAATTCTCCTGCATCCTTCTCCTCGGTCGACAAATGTTCGTAGACGAGCAATCTACCACACTGGTTTCGGCGTTCTGGGGGCGTGATGGCCGAGTGGTCAGCGCCTTCGGCTCCCACGTGGGGCCCGAGCTCAGACCGCGGTTACGCCACTGCCCCTCAGCACAAATATTGCCTCTGCTGCTGCTGCCGCTCCATGAAAGGAGTGCAACGACAAGCGTGGCCCTTACGACCCTAAAAGTTTGCATGGTCCTCAACATGCGAATGATTGTGTTTTTTCTAGAAAACAAAGAAGTCAAAAACTAACTTATACTTTGTCTGGTTTTGTTTTGTCGGCGTAGGGATAGTTCATTTCTTCTTCTTTCAACATAACCGGCATGTTGAAGGTCATGTTTTCCCATGACAATAATGGCAACAATGTCATAAGCTCTTCGACATGCAAAAACCTGACACAGAAGTATTCTCAAGCGCTATGACCGAACCCATCCCTCATTAACCTTACTGTGATCGCGATGTTCTTACCTCACGTGTGATCCGTTCCAGTGAAGCCTATGATTGACCGCACGAACTTGACGATGACCAAGGTGAAGGCCGGCAAGCAAGTGTTCTTCGATGTCAATATCAAGGGCGAGCCGCCTCCAACCGTCACCTGGATCGTGAAGGACGAAGCGGTGCGTGTCTTTACATTACCTGTATAAGCACCCCTTTGCTGATAAGGGGTCCGCCCGCCAGTGAGAGGTCGGGTAATCTCATAGACTCACCGGCTTGAATCTCGTCGCACATCTTCTACGCCAGCATGATGCAATGAAATTACGTCTTTGAGTTATACGGTGTCAAGTTCGCAAAATCACCGTGACCATTGCCAAGAGACCTGCTAACAACGCAGCATTTGGTTATCGTGGATGACTGCGATGAATTGCTGCTTTGTGTCCTTAAATCTTAACATGAGATGGCAAGTCAAATGTTTCCTGTTGTACGTGACTGTTGCCCGGTCTGTCGCCAGGTGAGCGCCCCCAACATCACAATTGTGAACATCGATTACAACAGCAAGTTCACCATCAAGGACAGTGTGCGCAAGAACACAGGCATCTACAAAATCTTAGCCGAGAACATTCATGGCAAGGATGAAGCCGAGGTGGAAGTCGTCGTACTCTGTAAGTAAACACCCAAAATCGCTGTTTCCCGGGCGAATGCAAATTTGTTTGATAATTCATCTGTCTCGCATTTTGAAAATGAGCTTTGAATGTCGTCGCGTCACGCTTGCTGACACGGTCTGCTAGTTTTGGTCATTACGGCGATGGATCCATCAATTTTGCCGAATGACCCCGAGCCTCGGGTACAAATTGGTGGAATCAGCATCGCCAGCTATGTTTCCGGCGTGATTATGTTCATACACGTGCCGTGCTTGCCACCTGTCCGTCGCTCACTCAAGTGACACTCTGCGCGCATTCCTCAGCGGCGCCTTCCAAGCCGAAGGGGCCGCTGAAGGTGTCAGACGTGACCGCCAAGGGTTGCAAGCTCAAGTGGGACAAGCCCGAAGACGACGGCGGCGTACCGATCCAGGCGTATGCGGTCGAGAAGCTGGACACCAGCACAGGTACGGCCGCTTCGCCTCAGTACTGGCTCAGAGAAGACCGCAGATGTACCGAGTGCATCACGCGGGGTGTGTTTGGTGGTTTGCCGCGCCGTTCTGGTCAGTGCATGCTTGATCCGTCTCATTGTTTTGGACCACAAACTGCATCTACCCGCGTCCAACCAGTTTCGGTGTGACTGGACAGCCTTCTCTGGCCAGAGTGTGTTCCCACCGAGCACCGTATGGTGCTGTCTCTCCTGCACCGGGGTGTTCCTGTCGAGCTCCGTGTGGTGCTATTTCCCCCGCATCGAAGTGCTCCCGCCGAGCTCCGTGTGGTGCTGTCTCCCCGCACTGGAGTGCTCCCCTGTCGACCTCCGTGTCTTCCCCGCACCGGAGCGCTCCTGCTGAGCTCCGTGTGGTGCTGTCTCCTCCTCACCGGAGTGCTCCCCTGTCAACCTCCGTGGCTCCCCCCGCACCGGAGTGCTCCTGCTGAGCTCTGTGTGGTGCTGTCTCCCCCGCACTGGCGTGCTCCCTTGTCGACCTCCGTGGCTTCCCCCGGCACCGGAGTGCTCCTGCTGAGCTCTGTGTGGTGCTGTCTCCCCCGCACTGGCGTGCTCCCTTGTCGACCTCCGTGGCTCCCCCGGCACCGGAGTGCTCCTGCTGAGCTCCGTGTGGTGCTGTCTGCGACGCACCGGAACACTCCCGTTGAGCTCTGTATAGTGCTGTCTCACCCGCACCGGAGTGCTCCTATCGAGCTCCGTGTGGTGCTGTCTGTGACGCACCAGAACACTCCCGTTGATCTCCGTGTGATGCTGTATCCCCGCACCGGAGTGGCCCTGTCGAGCTCCGTGTGATGCCTTCATGTCTCGTCCCGCCGACTCGGTAGCCCGGCGTCGCTGACCTCGTCGCCCGCCGCCGGCAGGGCGCTGGGTGCCCGTCGGCCGCGTCGGGCCCGATGAGACGGGCATGGATGTTGGTGGTCTGGTGGAGGGCAAGAACTACCAGTTCCGCGTCAAGGCCGTCAACGAGGAGGGCGAGTCGGAGCCGTTGGACACGGACCACGCCACGCTCGCCAAGAATCCCTACGGTGAGTGGGACCGCGGCAAATCCCAGGATTCCCGGGGGTAGTTTTTTGGAGGCATATTATGGTTTAATGTCGATTAAATGTGTCGCCTGGCATAGGATGAAAAAGTTTAATGACAACGCCTTGATTTTTTATGCTGCGTCGTCTTGGGGCTTTTTGCGAGGGTGCTTTAAGTTTACGAGGAGTGTGTACTGCTGGAACGGACACTGATCGAGGCGCATCCCTACTGCGCAGAGATTCCCGGCGCGCCGTCCACGCCTGAGATTGTGGACTGGGACGTGGACCGGGTGGATCTGAAGTGGAAGGCCCCCAAGAACGACGGCGGTGCTCCCATTACCGGCTACATCATCGAGAAGAAGGAGAAGTTCGGCACTTCCTGGGAGCCGTGCGTGGAAACCAAGGTATGTTGTTGAACTGGAGTAACTTACATATGATTCCGGGGTCGCTTTGCCACGCCATCGTGTTTGACAGCTCCCAGCAGTGTCCGCTAAGCTGTAGTAATGGAATCTTAGTTCCCATAAGCATTGTGTCAATGGGCGGTTGGATGTACTTCATTTTCTAAGCATCTTTTGGTATTACAATGCGCAGAGCTCTCAGCAGCGTGTCGCACATAGATAAGTTTGAAACGTTTTCACTTGTCATTGATGATGGCACGTGGCGCCATATTCTCAATTCGTGCACATGAAGACCAGCTGGCTGCACTATCCTGGCAACGAGACATCACCAGTGACCGCTGGCGCCGCTCCACAGAGTGCCAGCCCGGAGGCGCGCGTGCCCGACCTGACCGAGGGCAACGTGTACCAGTTCCGCGTGCGTGCCGTGAACAAGGCCGGGCCTGGAGAGGCCAGCGAGCCCACCGGACAGCACACGGCCAAGGCTCGATACCGTAAGTGTCCGGGGTCGGCGATCGCGATCGTGGAGAACTTTCGGCTCGGCATCTGTGGCTGAAGTGTACCGGTGACCACTGTCGAATACGCTACATGCTGGAATTCACAGGTGCCCTCTCACAAGCTGATCGATACGCGGACCCGTTTGCGCTTCGTGTCCTGCTGTCCGCTAACGGTATATCCCGGTGTCCACGCGGGGCCAAGGGAACACCTCATGCAGTTGTCCTCTCCCCGCTGCTGACACTGTGCCTCTGCCCCTGCCGCAGTGAAGCCGTGGATCAACCGAGACAAGTGCAAGCCGGTGACGGTACGCGCCGGCCAAGTGGTCCGCCTGGACATCGACGTCAAGGGCGAACCGCCGCCAGTCGTCACCTGGACATTCAAGAGCAAGGAGGTGGCCACCGACGCGCACTACCGCATCGAGAACGAGGACTACAACACGCGCCTGCAGATTCAGGACACGTCGCGCCGCCAGAGTGGCAAATACCTCATCAAGGCGGTCAACAGCTCGGGCGAGGACGAGGCCGAGGTCGAGATCAACATTCTCGGTGAGGCTCTTTACGGGCAGGCAGGGATGGGCGATGATAATAGTTTGGCAGTAGGCGTTCAGCCAAACGAATGCAGTACCTGGGCGAACTTCCGCTACCAATGCATTATTTAAGATAGTTTTCAGCATAACATCGGGCCACCTCTGGTTTTGTAATATGTTCTGGACGCTTTTGACGTCGTTTAACCCCGTCCGGCTGCATAGGAGTGTGAGGCGCCTGAACCGACCCGTCCTGTATCGCAGACAAGCCGGCTCGGCCTGAGGGTCCGCTGGACGTGTCCGACGTACACAAGGACCACTGCAAGCTTAGCTGGAACAAGCCCAAGGACGACGGCGGCCTGCCGCTGTCGGCCTACGTGCTGGAGAAGATGGACACGACGACAGGCCGCTGGCAGCCGGCCGGCCGCGTGCCGGGCGACACGACCGAGGCCGAGATCAAGGGCCTCGAGCCGGGCAAGCGCTACGAGTTCCGCGTCAAGGCCGTCAACGAGGAGGGCGAGTCGGAGCCACTCGACACGGACCACTCCATCCTGGCCAAGGACCCCTACGGTACGCCCGGTCTCGGGATGGAGGCTCGAGAGTCGGTACCGGTTTCTGTGCGTCGCTGTCAGCATAGATATTCATGCCGTGCAGACTAAATCAAGCGAACTGTTTCAGTTGACAGTGTGTGGTCACACGTAGGCATCCTACATGTGTTGCCCGTGCTGCTGAATTGTAAAGGCAACAGCTAGCGCGGAAGCTTTCGGAAGCAGGCTCTGTTACGCGCAGAGCGATTCTCCGCGGAGACACATTGTCGGTAGCATGTGCAGTCTATTCGCTTAGTGACGATGACTCAGGCGCCTCATTCGAAGCGCTGTTTCTGTGGCCGGATCCGACCCGTCCATCCCGCGCCTGACGTCAGCGGTCCGCCCTGCCGCAGACCCGCCGGGTGCGCCGTCCATGCCAGACATCGTGGACTGGGACGAGCGCATGGTGGAGCTCAAGTGGGAGCCGCCGCTGCGCGACAACGGCGCGCCCATCACCGGCTACGTGCTGGAGATGAAGCCGGACGGCGCTGCTGAGTTCCAGCCGGCGGCCGAGGTGGGGCCCGCCTGCTCGGGCAAGGTGACTGGCCTGACGCCGGGCAAGAAGTACCAGTTCCGCGTGCGGGCCATCAACAAGGCGGGCCCGGGCGAGCCGAGCGACGCCACCGCGCCGCACACGGCCAAGGCCAGATACCGTGAGTGGTGTCCCGGCCTGGCGGGCTCGGGTCGAGCTGATGCACAGGCTCAGGAGGGGTGCGGAGGGGCTCAGATCTGCTGCTGGCCGGTGTAAATGGTCGTGTGGGGTGCTGATCCCGGGATTGAATGTGCCACCGGTGGGCGGAGGGTGGATATGGTGATGTGTTTGATGGCTGGCTCGCGTTTCGCATGCGACACATTGCCGAAGCTCGTCTGGCGTGGAGATCTATCAACTGCGACTCATGGTGACTGCTCCCACATGTACGACGCGCCTAGCTGCCGATACAGACAGATCTGCAGCGGCGTCCGAAGCCCCGAGAGGTCGCCTGACCCCCTCCCGCCACTCCGGCAGTGAAGCCGCGTATCGTGCGCGACAATCTGAAGCCGGTGGTGGTGAAGGTGAACCAGCAGGTGCTGCTGGACGTGGACATCATCGGCGAGCCGCCGCCCAACGTCAGCTGGACCTTCAAGGACAGGGTACGCGCTGAGAGGTCCAGGACAACTGCGCAACGCCCGATTACTGGGTGGAATGATGTTTGTGTGCATGGTGCTCCATGTGTGAATTGTTGGAAATGAGTATTTCTTGCAATGCGGACTGTTTTGGAGATAAATTTACTCTTAATGATGCACAGGATTGAGCTTTTTATGACAGTGCTTGAAAGATGTCACCTTACTATCGCTAGATTGGCCGGTTTGCGCCAGATGCTGATCTTGAGCTGAGCGCCCTGCCCAGGCTCAGCTCGCGCCCTGTCGAGCTGCTGTTCGACCTGTTCCGTCTGAGCCACGTGACCTCGGGCTGCCGCAGGACGTGGAGACCGGACCCGAACTGACCATCACCAACGTCGACTACAACACCAAGTTCGCGCTGTTCCGCGCGCGGCGCATCGACTCGGGGACGTACACGATCACGGCGAGCAACTCGTCGGGCGAGGACGTGGCCCAGGTGGACATCACCGTGCTGGGCAAGCCGGGCCAGCCCGGCGGTCCGCTGGATGTGAGTACGCCGGACGGACGGACGGCGGCCCGGGCCGCGGCGGGGGGCGGGGCGCGTCACAGCGGCCCTCGCTGGTCAGTGGCGCCGGGCCCCAGCTGCTCCTGGTACCGAGAAAAGATGACGGTGAACTGTGCATCGGGGTAAATGTTTTGTTGCTGTTGCTGCATTTCAGATCTTCAGTAGCACTTTCAGCCAATAGGCTTCGGGATCCTCTGAGTTGAATGCGCATAGGTCTTTTCCGTTTGCACGCACCCTTTGAAAGATTTGCATACAATGCCGTCATTGCGTGAGCGAGAGACGGGCTCCTGCTACCAACTGGTGTGACCAGATGTTTGGCATGCCCTGTGTCCCATGTTCCATAGTGTACCTCAATTCATGGCACGCCTCCGTGTGCTCCAGGTGTCCGATGTCACGGCTAGCGGCTGCAAACTGAGCTGGAAGGAGCCGGAGGACGATGGAGGTTGTCCGATTGACCACTACGAGCTGGAGAAACTGGATCCGTTCACCGGTACGTGTTTGGAAGAAGCTTGGACCAGGTTTTTTCCCTGGATAAGGCTAGAAGTCGCGGATCAATTTCCAGTCAATGTATAGAAACTGCGTCTGTTATATACTGGCTGAGTCTGCTGGTGCATTGGTGCGGACAGGACGCTTGGATCACAAAGAGAAATGTCTCGAGCGTTTTGGTCCTAATTGCTGTCTTTTCCTCAGGACAATGGATCCCGTGCGGTACCTCCGACAAACCGGAAGCGGAAATTACCGGCTTGCAGGAGGGCAAGAAGTACAAGTTCCGAGTGAAGGCTGTGAACAAGGAGGGCGAGTCGGAGCCTCTGGAATGCGACCAGTCTGTGCTCGCAAAGAATCCCTTCGGTCAGTCATCACCACTTGCAGTGACTGCAGGCTCGTGATGGTGCGCCGCAACTCTAAGGGTAGATGATCGTGCATCGATGATTGTGTGATGTATTGGTAGCTCTCAGCTCCTAATGAAATGAAAAAATTGATCACATTTTGTCTGATATCAACATTTGGGGATGCTCAGTATTTGGGGATGCAGCCCTGGTCATTTTTGCATATACGAATATCGGCAAACGCAGAGTTCAGTACGAAATATAAAAGTAAACATGCATCTGTGTAGCATTTCATTGGTTACGTCTTTAAAATGTCTGCTTTTAATGCGAAGTCGTGAGGTTCCGATGCAGTCTGGCAGCTGCCCAAGCCAACTGTGGTGGCAAATAATTCTCTACATGCGTACATGCGGTAAGTTCAGCCGTGCTGTTCATCAACGACGTAAAATAAACTAAGCGCTCACTTGCGCACGACTTGCCGAGGGTTGGTTCGGCTGTCCACGCATGCGCAGAACTTGACGTCGGCTGTTGTCCGTCCCGGCAGACCCGCCCCACAAGCCGGAGCGGCCCGAGCTGAAGAACTGGGACCGCGACTTCGTCGACCTCCAGTGGAAGAAGCCGGACGACGGCGGCGCTCCCATTCTGGAGTATATCATCGAGAAGCGGGACAAGGCTGACCGGCCCGGCACCTGGAAGCCCTGCCTCACCGTGCCGGTGCGTTATTGTCGATGGGACGAGGCGGTCAGGGGTACGACGAACCAACGAGGCCTTCTGCACTGTGAAGCTCCGCGCAGGGGGTCGAGGAGTGCGGATGAAATGGTGACTCGCGGTGATGGCTATGGATGGTATGCGAGGGCCGGTTTTGTGCGTTCCGTGCCACAACTCCCAAAAGTGCGGCGTGTTGTCGACTGTCCTGTCGCAAC